GGGCACATTTCGGAGCCCTGAGAGGGAATAAGAAAATATTTTATACTTACAAAGCGTTTTTTATATGAATATGTTCATTCATTAGACTATTCATTAAATTAAATACTTTTGAAGAAGCATTTTCAAACAAATATTATCATAAACGCTTTCAATTATTTCGTTGATTCCAACTATTCTAAAAATACTTTCAAACAAATATGATAACTGCTGCTGACGAGAAACTTGAGGTGGGAGTTGAGAGTCGAGACAACGGAGGTGAATGATGAAGCGAATGGTGATGAGGAATGATTACTTTGGTAGGTCAGATAGGGACAAAAATGTCAGAATCAAGTTTCCCAAACGTGGCAAACAGAGACACACGCATCGAAAAGTATTGGTTTGGTCGCTAGCAACACTACCAGCCAAACCCCAAGTGCCAACCAAGTGACTTCCCCTCTAGTAATTTGGGTGCCGACACCACCAATTTCCTCCTATGTCATGTACATCCCAACCCACACGGCACTTCTCTAGTGCTAACGTCAACTTCGCAAGCGCACATGAGTTGATTTTAAGGAACTAATGAAAATGGCTTGAAAATTTTGAGTTTTAATGATAAGGACAAAATAAAGGGTAAAGTGAATAGTACCATAATTGACTTTTTAGTGTAAAAACGTGGTTTTTCGTTAAAGTGAACAGTACCGGGTGCTTTTCGTTAAAGTTCCCTTGATTTTATTCGTTGAAGCATGTGCGATTCGTTATAATCAACAATCAGAATGATATACGTGAACGCGGTTTATTGTAATATTTATTATGATGTAAGGTATACTCTATTTATGAAGGAAGAAAATGGTGGATCACATTCGTTTATTAGGCGTGCAAAATTTGAGAATTGTTGATCACCTATTAAGCCTCAACCGTTGATGCACCACCGCATGTACGTTGAAGATTGTGTCGAGTGGATATGTCAAATAGAAATGTTTCCTTTTCTTGTTAAAAGATCAAACTGTTGATAGTGGGCTACATAATGGGTTATTCCCATCTCCTCTTGATTGTTTGGTGTTTCTTTGGGCTTGTGAATTTAAAAGTTAGACCCATATTTGGTATTTTCTGAGAAAGCCATGTGAGCAACCCAATAAATTATTAGCTTATTTTTCTTGTTCTTCGGGTTGATTTAGTATTGATGTGTTTTGAAAAAAAAATTTTGATTTTACTGTGCTATGAGAATAAGCAGCTGTAAAATAAAGCAGCAGAGTGTTTGGTAAACTTTTTTGTAAAAGTGCTTTTGGAAAAAAAAAACATTATTATATTGTTTGGTAAACTTCTATGTAAAACAGATGTGACTGTGGAAAATGATCAAACATGATATAATACTAGATGTGCCATTAATTTAATTTTCTTAACAAATAAAGGTGAATTATTAAATATACTTTATTTTTAAAAGAAAAATATTTATAAACTTTATCTTAAATATTAATTAGTATGACAAACTACTTCAATTGAAATATTTTAAACTGAATAATTAGGATTCAATAGTACAATATTGTTAATATACTTGAAAGTAGTCTAATTAGATGTATTCGTCAAACTTACCGCTATTCTATTTCATAATGATTCTATCTTATGTGATATTTCAACTTTAATGTTCCGCTCTTCTTTTAATTTTGTTCCGGCAGAAAATTCGGTTTTATTTCTCTCTGTCTGTCTCTATTTGATTGGGTTTAGCAGATAGAAATGCAAGAGCAGGCGATGAGCTCCCTCGCTTCGAGCTCTCTACCTTCCAGCAACGAAAGGTCTTCGAGCTCTGCATTCCATCTTGAAGTTAAAGAAGGTTTGACTTTGATTTTTCAACTCGTTTTGTAGTGATTTCAAGTTTCTTTTCCAGAAAGTATAGCTTTGTTTGTTTAAATTTGTGTACTTGTTTTTTAATCAGAAGAATTTTGAGATTTCTCACCTGGGTCTTGTAAAACCCAGGATTTTCTCAGCTGGGTTGTTGTCCCGGGAAAATGCTCTTTTCGGATGAAAAGTCTTCTATTTTTACATTGTCTCAGATAAAAAAGAGAAAGCTTTGTTCAATAAGTATAGCTTATTTTGTTCGTGGTTAACTGTTTATCTTTGCAAATCGGAAGAACTTCAAATTTTCCCATCTGGGTTTTGTAGAATCGACAATTTTCTCAACTGGGTCGTTGTTTGTTTCCCGGGATTTGTTTTTTTTTTTAAGAGATGGCTTCACACCTGAAGGATTTTTCTGAAACAGAGAAAGGAAGTGAGAGTAAGAGTAAAAAGTTAAGCTAAGCCAAACTGGGGCTTCATCTGGTGAACCTCTAGCCTCAAATCCATCCTTAAGGTTTAGATATTGACCATAAGAAAAGTTTTTCAGCCTTCAATTTATCACACAAATATGGAGGGTTGGTAGTCAAATTGGATCCAATCCAAGTCTGCTTCACACTTTAATATTGGAGGGAATTAAAATTGAAGTCCAAGACCTACACTTGGAGAGAAACTTGCATGTCGAAGCATGGACGGAGTTAGAAACATTTTTTTAGCAAGGGCAATTTCGAATGATGAAAATAAATTGAATTTTTGATCCAATGCTATTAATTTATTGTCCAACAACACGAGTTTGGGTAACTAGTGTTTAGAACGGTAAAATTGTAAACTATTAGCTAATGAAAAAATTACATGGCTCTGAAGGGTGAAAGTGTAAGAAAAGTATAAAACGTGAGAGGGTATTTTCAGTTAAGTATTTGGACTGAAACATTATTTTTGAATATATAAGTAATTTATAATTTTAGTTGAAGTATTTTTCATGGCAAAAAGATTTGAGTGTGGACAGTTATCCCCAATGAGCATATGTTGCCTCGTCCATGTGTCGAAGGGTGTGTTTACTTTTGTGTCTGTTTTCTCGCCTAGCGCGAAGGTCATGCGTATGGAGAGATACACACAATAATTTGAGAGAGAGAGTGGGGTTAAGAATAGAGGTTGGCTTTGATTATTAGTCCTACTAGCACATGCTCCTTCCTTCCCACATTCTCCCTTTATGGATTTGCACTGCGCTCCTCATCTCATGTCATTCTCATTTTCTTCTATTTTTTGTGATTACGGTTAAGTCACGTCAACATTTTATATTGATTTTTTTTTTATAGAAATAATAAGAGAAAAAGTAATGTGAATATCAAATGTTGACGTAACTTAACTGTGATCACATAAATAAGAGGAGATGGGAAAGACATAAGATGGGAAGGGCAAACAATCCAAGTCCCTCATCATTAGTGCATGCAGTTATATACTACAATTTGAATCATATAGCGGTACAATTTGGTGAAGTGGGCATCCATATCCATAAATAAAGGCACATCACCAACTTTGCCAAATAGCTTTTGGTGGTAGAGAGAGCAGCTACCCCGATTTGGTCCCCCATTGATTGGGTTAGTTTATAATATATAAATGCCACATGCATGCATTTCTTGCATGGATGGGAAAGATTGTTAGAAAAGTGGGAGATGTTATTGACATTCGGAAATAGTTATTGAACACATAATAATTTATTTGAAGTGCTGATAATAATTTTATTAAAATTTTGGTAGAGATTTTAAAGTGTCTTGATTTCTGACTAGCTTTTCTCTCTTGAATAGGTAGGTGATGAAGCTTTAAAACTTGAACAAGTTTTCTGCAATTTTAGATGGCCAAACTGCAAAATAATTCCATCTCCTAGATCAACTGCATACTCTATAAATGGTCCCAATCAAGTGAGTTAGTTTATAATTTATGTAACTGCTTGTTAATATGCATGCATTGGGTGGATGGATGGACGTGAGAGGGCGATTTCAAGTCAATAAGGTTTTTCACTTGCGAAAGTCAAAGAGAACATCTATCGTACGCAGCTTTATCCTTACTTTACAAAGATATTGCTTTCATGACTCAAACCCGTGACATTTTAATCACAAAAGAACAACATTTCCGTTGCGGCAAGACTCGTCCTTTGTTGCTCAAAATTATGTGAGAGGAAGATAGTTAGATAAAACAAGTTGCTCTGTTACTCAATTTTTTGTGGCACATTGTGATTAATGGATTGTGTATGTTTCAAACTTAGATATTCAATTGTTCATAAACGGGCTCAAATTTTGAATAGCCAACTCTTATAGCATGGTAAAAATGTGAACTTCAAACTCAAAATTATTAGCTAAAATGTGTTCTCAAATTTCTTATATTTTTCAAGAGGGTAATTAAGTTGTTGATTTCTTAGCTAATTATGGAGTTCATCATGCAAGCTTTCATTGGTGGGATCATATCTCTTCCCTTGCGTCTTGAGCCTATTCTAGGAATTTTTCAGGATTCCCTAGCTATCGTTTTTCATAACTTTGTTGGCATAATTTTTTTTGCGGGGTTTAGTTTTTTGTTCTCCTGTCTTTCTGAAAGAAAAAAATTTTAATTAAAAAAAAAATTCTTGGATTCACCTTATCAGCATAACATGGGTTGTGTGACATAGCTATAATTGTGTCTACATTTGTTTATGAAGAGTGAGGGTTTTCCTGGCGTGTATGATACTTTTTCCAAAGGGCGACCCGAAGCCTGGCACCAAGCTTTGGAAGGGTCAGAGGAGGGGCCAGAACGTCTATCGTACATAGTCTTATTTTGCATATATGTTATTTTCACAATTTGAACTCATGATACTTCGACTTTAAAAGAACAACATTTTCGTTGCGACAAGACTTTCTAAAGTAAATAAAATATTCATCCAAAGAAGGGGAAAAAAGATAAAGTTTTTGGTCAAAAGGTTGAAGCACTTTGAATGCTATTATGCTCTTTTTACCAGCTAATTACTCCTGTGGAAAATGAATATAAGCCACTTTGAAAACTTGAAAGCAACCTTGAGTCTCCTTTTTCTTTCACCATATGATTATGAGCGTGCTAGGATCCTAAGCCTCAAGCTTAGCCAAAGGGATTAGGTGAATGAACTAATAATTCAATCATCGTTAAGCTTTCAATGAGACGGATCAACGGTCTACTATTAATTACTCTAATACCAATATTGTTATAACTTAATTACCTGCATAACCAACTCTTTTACAATAAAAGGTACCAACCAAATTGGCAAATCAAGGAGTTGAAACAAAATACCTTGTAGGGAGAAGCTGATATACATTTTCTTCACTCTTTCAGTCCACAAACTCAAGCTTTTACAAAGCATGAACACTGAAGCATTTTTATGCAGAAAGAGAGACAATAATCTATCTTTAATCAAGTTCTTTTCGATTAAAACATATTACCATAAATATATATATCAATACACAGCAAAGTGGTACTACTCAAAACAAGTCTCATGGCACGAACTGATCTTCACTGTCTTGGAACTCCTCCTCATTCTGGTACTCTTCCATGGAGTTATAGGTGTTCTGGTTCGCATTTCCGTTGCCGTAATTGCCCCTGTTGTTGTACCAATTTTTTGAGTCCGCCACCCTAGAGTTTCCGTACTGGTTCTGGTTGTAGTTGCTCTGGCTTCTCGGGTCGTAGTAGTACTTGCCGTTCTCCAAAAACCTGGTGTCACTCATTCCCTGCTTCTCAACATTGTAGTAGTTGTTATTGTTCTGGTAGTTGTTTGGGGTGGCGGTGTAGCTGCTTTGAGCGAACCTCGTGTCGCTCAGGCCATTAGGATTGGCCTCAAAGTTGTTGTTGTTCTGGTAGTTGCTGGGGGTGGTAGTGTAGCTGCTCTGAGCGAACCTCGTGTCGCTCAGGCCATTAGGATTGGCCTCAAAGTTGTTGTTGTACTGGTAGTTGCTGGGTGTGGTAGTGTAGCTGCTCTGAGCGAACCTCGTGTTGCTCAGGCCATTAGGATTGGCCTCAAAGTTGTTGTTGTTGCTCTGGTAGTTGTTGGGGGTGGCAGTGGTGGTGGTGTAGCTGCTCTGAGCGAACTTCGCGTCGCTGAGGCCATTAGGGTTGGCCTCAAACTTGTTCCCGTTGTAGTAGTAATTGTTTTTGTTGGGATTGTAGTGGTTGTTGTATCTGTCGGGGTACTTTGTATTGTGCTGCTTCTCTGCCTCGGCCGTATAGGGCAGGTTGTTGTTGTTGTTGGGTGTGTACTTGTAGGGTTCACCGTTGGTTGTGGTGGAGGGAGGCAGCTGGCCGGACTCATGACCGTAGAGGCCGTATCCGTTTTGAGTCTCTGGAATGAAAGTTGGCTCTTTCTCTTGCTCTTGCTTGAAAACTGGGGACTCTGTTTTTGGGAGCTCTGTTTCTGGAGACTCTGTTTTTGGAGTCTCTGTTTTTGTGAGCTCTGATTCCTTCACATTGTTGTTGTTAGAACTGGCAACTTTGCTAAAGAATTGGCTCTCTCTGGCTTGAGCTTGGAGAGAGAAGAGGAGGAGAGAGAGGAGGAAGAGGAGAGAGAAGAATTTGGGAGGAGGAGGAGCCATAAGTGGCTATTGTTGTGGGAGGCAGCTGCTCTGAATTGTGAGGTGTGAAGAGTGGGAGTGTTATAGTGGAGGGAGACCTAGCGGGCAGTGCATTGTTTATATAGAGAGACATAATTTTTTTTTCAAGTATCCAACCATTTTTACCATAATACTTAATATACTTAATATACCGAATTGTGTTCCGGCACATACTTTTTCTTGTTTCTCAACCAATTTTTTCAACTCATTAGGTGCAAATCGGGTGGAGGATTAGTGATGGTTTGTGGTCCCCACTTTGGTATGCAACTTCAACAATATTGAGTACTCTGTTTCTTTTCCAGTTAATGAGTTTTGTATTTTATCCTTAAAACACGCGCGCGCGCGCACACACACATGCTTTTAGGTTAATCCAACTATTGGTGTTGTTTAGGTTAATCCAACTTCAACAATACACACATGCTTTTAGGTTAATCAATAAAGTGTTTAGTCATTTTGATTATCCACGTTTTCGTTTTATTTGTAAAACACTTCTCAGAAAAATATTTACCGAATCAGTGCTGATATGAGAATTGTGCTCGTAGAGCAGCTCCATCGAAATTTATAGAGTATGTAATAAGCACTTGCTAATAGAATTATGCTTATGAGTTATGACCATTGATTTTTGTTTCATTCCAAGCAAACCAAAAACATGATATAAGATGAATGAGGACAACGAGAACCCATCTAACACAATTGATAAGGGAATGTTAACTTTAATTGAGGGTGCTCATGATGTTCCCCAAGGCGAAGGCTGAGGGGAAAAATAAATTGGAAATATGACGAAGGATAATTTGGAAATAAATTCTAAATGGTGCCAGAGGAGAAGCGTGATCGACCCCATAGACATCATTGACGTGGCCATGTAATTATGCTGGATTGTGGAGTTAATGATTCATGTTCTAACCTAGACGGTGGATGCAACTGTGACGGTATTTTTAGTTAAAAGTAGTGTTATTCAAACGCTTATTTTTACTTTTCACATATTCTTCTTAATTTTTAACCGTCGGAGCATGAGTTGAAGAAGATCAATCACCACAAATTAAAAAAAAAATGTGTGTATGAGGTAAAAATGGGTGTGTGATTAACACTATCCTTAGTCAATCACGCACATACATGTGTAATGTTGATAATGAATCTCACATTGATGGGAGGACATACTTTGCATGAGCTTATATATAAGTTGGGTTACTCCTCAAATTGGCAATTGGTTTTATGGTAGAACTTCAACTTTCTTGATGTATTAGAGCAGATTGTCGTGCCATACTGCTCCATGCCATCCCGTTTGTCTTGTCTACGTGCTAAGCTTGAGTTAACGTGACAATGCATGATATTGGTTTCTGCAATTTAACTTTGTTTTAAGTGGATTTTCTTGTGTTAGTTGGAATATTTAAGTTGCATAAATACAAAACTGAAATGCAATTAGAGATAGAGATAGTTCATAACAATCTCATCTTTTATATGGTCCAAAAATAGTGACCAACAATCTCATCTGCTAATATTTAGATCCCAACTACTAAATTATTAAATTGTCACCAGAAAATAGTGAAAAAAATAAAGATGATGTTGAAGTTTTTGTGGTTCGTTATATCTTCTTCAATTCCATCATTCACATTTTATTTATTTTTTAAAGTCATAATTTCAAAGGAAAAGGGTGGAAGGTTAAAGGAAGCTTCTTTGTTGATTGTATTTGTACATGCACCACCAAAAACCCTAGACCATTTCACAAAAGCCAAAAGAAAGGAAGGAAGAAAAAGAAGAGGTACATGGTATCATTGGTGTTGATTTTGTAAAAGCAAAAGCCTATTTAGCACCTTCCTACCAGAAAATAAAGACAGAAAAAAGCAGTAAATAAAACCTTTGAAAAAGCAACCACAAGTGGTGAAAAAATCTCACACAACATTGTCTTTAATTAACTTATAGATGATTTCACATTATGTAAGTTGGTTTTATGTAATTGCCTGCATACTTAGATTTCCTAAAGTAATTGATTGACGGAGACAGACTTACTTGCAATGTGGATAGACTCATATTACATTAGGAGCGGGAAAGATACATAAGTGTATATCTGATAGATTTTAATCCTTCGTAGTTGATCTTGTTTATCGATTGTCTCAGTTGATCTTGTTTATCAACTGTCTCTGATGTTATACAAACTTAAAAGATGATGCTATACAAATATAAGAACAAAAAGTAAACATGCCACATAAAACATAAAGAATTTAGCTAGGTTCGGCGAACTTTGCCTACTCCTCGTGTGATCTCTCTTAAGAAATCACTTGTACTATGAAGAATAACAACCTAGTTACAAGAACTTATTGAAAACCCAAAACCTTGCTTTGGATAAAGAACTCTTGGCTATCTACCCTTATATTTTCTATATTGTTCGTGTGCATAAGCAGCCCCTAGCAAGCCTATTTATAGTACATAGACCGATGGTTACATACCTTACAAGTATAGAATTTCTAAATCCTTTTAGAATAAGGGAAACTAACTTATTTCCTAATCCTAAACTGATTGGGATTACAAAGAAAACCTGTTTCTCAATTCTTTAGAAAATAACTTGTGCGCATTCCTTTTCTCCTTCTCCAACACTGAAAACCTAAACCTGATCGGCTTTGCTATTTGGCCGAGCCAAATCACAAGACAGCCGCTCTCAACTTATCCACACAAGCAAGAAAGAAAATGACCCAAATTTCACATCAAGGTTTTCATAAATATTGAAGAGTCTTAGTAACTAGTGACCTACAATGGCGCTGGTATTTGGTATTGAAGTTTAGCATGTGGCAAGTGGTGTTTGCCAACTAATGTGAGTAGCCATCCGAGAGTTAGGTCATTGTTTGGTTATAGCAGTTGCAGATTGAATCAACTAATTGATGCAAAGGTGGCCCACTCAGCCCTCTCTCTCTTCCTCCCTCTTCCTTTCTCAATCGAAACAAAGAGTTCTGCGTACGATAAACGTTTATTTCTTATTCTCATAAAACAAAAAACCTTGTTTGCTAGTGATCGTTTTTTAATGGAAAGAAAATTAGGGTTAGGGTTGTGATATCCACACATCTCATTTTACTTCTTACATACCTTTTTAATTTTCGGCCGTCGAATCGGATGAATTGAAGATCAATGGATATAAATTATCAAGGAGCGTGTGAGAAGTAAAATGGGATGTGTGGATAGCACATCTCTTAGGGTTATTCTTTTTCCTCAACCACCAGCATTCCTTAGATTCGGGGGAATATAATTAAACAGTGAAAGATGCTTTTGTCAACGTTTGTGTTTGACAAAGCACCCAATTCCCTTTTCTTTTTCTTTATGTTTAGTTCACTTTTCTTTTTCTTTTTCTTTATGTTGCACGATTAGCGGGAGCATAGTTTTCGTCCTTCGAAGTTTGCCCTTTGGACATTAATTTGTTTGGCAATCGGTTGTATATTTATTTGTGTCCATCGCTCTTATGTGCTCTTATGTGTCTCATCTCATCTCTCATGTCTCTCTTTTAACGTGTGTTTTTAAACAGAATGTGTCTTGCAATCAGTTGTATATCGTGTAATTTATCTTTTCCATTCTTACTAATTATGTAAAAAAAAAAGATAAACACAATAGATATACAATCGATAATTGGTAATGTTCTCCATTCCTACTTGCTATTATTTTGAATAGTGCTATCTACACATCCTTTTTACAACGGATAACACCAATCATTGTTTTTTTTTCTTGACTGTTTTCTTGTTGTCCCCTTCATTTAATTTTTCTTGCAGAGTTGAGTTCTGTAAGGTTAAGTGGGAAGAGCTAATCACTCAAAATAAACAACTAATTTCAGCAGAAAGCGAAGCTAGTACAAATACATTCTTTTATGCATCCCAAAAACATTAATAAAACACAGATTTCCCAGAAACCCAGATATATTATTAAGATAAGATTAACAAAAACCACTTGTATGATAGATTATTGAGCGGGGACTTTCGGGCCATTTCACTCGTCCGCGCCCAGTCACAAGAAAAAACTCTTCGGATCCCACACAGGCGCAAGTCGGTGGGCTCGAAATGCAGGGATCATTATGTGTCTTCAGCGAAAGTGTAATGTGGCACGAAAGTTCCTTACCTTAAATTTATCTGACTTTCTGGATAGGGTAATGTTACGAAAATTAAATTTATAAACTAAATGATATGACATCAATAGTCTTTTGGTCATTTCCGATTCCGTGGGGCCATCTGGTCTAACCCTAGGTTGTAGACGATTTTCAGGCTATTTTCGACCATCTGGTCCTCTGCACTATTTGGTTGGAGATGACCTGGTTTTCAAATTTTGTATCCCTAGCATTACGCTGCCCCGGATAAGGTTTCCAAAGCAGAAGAGAAAACAATAACATATTGGGAGCCAAAATACCAAGCACAGGATTCACATCACTGCCAAGTCGTTTTCTCCTCATCCTCTTCTTAAACCTCTCTATCCTCTGGTCCTCACCCCACTGAGCTTCCTCTCCACCCTTTGCAAGAACCAATGGCGGGGGATGGTGGTAAGGGCACTTGGACCTCCAGGAGGTCTGGGGGAGCCCTACTCCGGTTTGAGAAAGAGAGAGAGGCAAATTGGAGGTGGATGGGAGGGTAGTCACAGTTGAGGTAGGAGGAGAATTTGGGTGGCGATGACGAGCTGGGAGTGGAGAGATGGCGCGGTTGTTGGGTTGCTTAGGATGTGGGTTAGGGCATTCAATTTTTGCTCCCATGTGGTGTTCTCCATTGTTTTTTTGGTGCTTATCCTTCTACTGTCTCAAACGACAATGGTGCAAAAGTAAATGCTATTAATCACGTGAGCTACACGCCTACACGTTCCTTATTTAAATTAATCTAATAGGATTCTCTTTGGATTTTTCTAGCGATGATTTTGGAGATTCGTGAATCATGTACGTTCATCATATATCGTGCGGTCAGTTTTTGTTAAGTACTGTTTGTGTTTTATTTTAAATAAAAATATTTAAAATAATTTCTGACTGCATAATATACAATGAACGAACATGATTGACAGATTTCTAGAATCAGAAAGAGGATCCGGATTCTAAATTAATGGCTTAC